CTAAAGGAAGTTGTATAAGTGATGAATCTGATGTGTTTGTGCGAGGCTGGGTGGTGGAAAAATACTGGCTCGAGTTACTGCTATCAACTTCTTTGCTAGTTATGAGAGAGGCGCGTGGAAAAGCCACACAGGAGCTCTTTCCTGACGGTAGCAGCGATGGATCGGGTCCATTTATTGTGAGCGTGCCATTTACAGGAATTTTTGAAGCAATAGATGAAGTTGGCAAAGCTGGTGTAACCGAGACGAGGGCAGGAGAAGGGGGAGGTATTGGAGGGTCCAACTGAAAGGATATAAAGATTAAAATTTGAAGCAGAAAACGGTATATAAGGCAAGAAAAATGTACTTAGAACATAGGTGGGAAAAAATAAGTTCTAGATTATTAATGTATAAGAATGTAAAAATATTAGGTAACAGATTAAACAATGTCTAGGAACGCTAGTTATTTATATGACTTGGGTATACATGGAGATTGAGCAGGAAGAGAATGAAGGCATTTATACATTTGAGTCTCAGAAATACTAGCGGTAATGCATAGATTAGGTTGATTGAATAGCAAAGTGACGCAGATATTACCAGATCAAAAAGCATACAGGGAGAAATCCCTTAGGGTCGTACAGGGTATCATTTTCAGAAATCAGGTCTTTGACAATGTGACTTACAAAGCTCCATATAATCTCATAAAATGGAATGCTTGAAGAAAGCTATAACTAACAGTATTAGGTGTTAGTGAATAGCTAGGGCCGCTCGCTTCAAATTAGTGGAACAAAATACGGCCTTAATTAAAACTATGAACGAAATATCCAAAAATAATAATAAAAGGTTTACTATAATCTTGGGTGTGATGAAGAATTGCACACAGGCCATGGAGCTTTATTCGCACAAAGCTATTTTAGTCTCCAGATAGAATCGATGACGGGGAAGTATATATCAAAATGCCTGATACCATCTAACATATACGGCAGGACGAATACAGAGTCAAGATATCTGTGAAGCATCGCTTAAACCCTGTCTGGTATGATGACTGGCAATAAGAACCATTGATAAGTGAACAATAATTTTTATACTAACAATGAGATTGTAACAGAAAATGATCACAGAGTTAGTATGATATATTTTGTAAGGAAAACATTAAAATAAACTATCGGTAATCAAAGCATGAGAGATTAGAATGGAGCAGCCAAAGGCCAAAATAATATATAAAAAAATAGATTATTCATAAAATAAGACAGCTAAGACCTCTTGTAACTGTACAATATTGTACAAATTAAGGAAAATAAGCGGGTCATATTTAAAATGGTACGTGTAAAGAGTCAAAAAAGCTATATCCAGTGATCATTATCCAGATTTACAGTGGAAACTTACTGTTAATCCACATATTTCCATCCAAGTACGCCCAACTGGAGTTTGGGGAGAAGCCAATACCTCTTCCTCACCAGGAACCGATAAGACAGAGCCAAAGAGAGGTGTAGCAGCCAAGCTTGAATGCAATCCGTCAGTAGCCGCATCCAGACGTTGGGCAACATATCGACGTGCCCAGCTGCCTATTGGTTCTGCGAACCGAGTGAGTGAAATTGCGTATTCCACAGACATTGGGTCACCACCGAATACGTCGAAGAGACAAACTGAAACCTGTTGACTAATATAATGAGCCAAGCAAGGTATGATATGAGTGTTAGTTGAGAGTTTTATAGGAGCAAATGTATGCAAAAATGTGTATATGAGTAGTAAAGTTGAATCAAAAATGAAACTCTGGGGTGGTAAAATGTGGTATAACATATTTAGATGAGTAAAATATAAAGTAGGACAGTAAAGAGATAATAAAGAAAAAAGTGAAAGAATTGGGATGGGTAAGCCAGATATAAAAAAGATGTAAACAAAAGGTCAAAGGGATATAAAACATTTAGTCATGAAAGGAAAAAAATATTAAGAATGAAAGACAAGAGTATATTCAATTATCTTTAATCAAGTATATGCGATAGAAAGCCACTA